AAAATCAGCTAAATTCTCCACAAATACAGTATCAAGACAGCCTTCAACACTGACCAAAAAATAGCCATCATCTTAAGAAACCCCAAAGACAAAATCCAGCTAGAAAACCAAGGAGTCTATGCAAAATCTGCCCTGCAACATACATAGGACAAACGAACAGGAGAATAAATGCACACATCGCAGAACACAAGAACGCAGTAAGAAAAAAAGAAAAAACTCCCTTTTCCAGCACCTCAAGGCTACAGGACATGAAATTAATTTTGAAGGAACCAAATTAATCTCCAAAACTGAACACTTCAACAAGAGAATAATTATGGAAGCTATCATAGGATTGGTTGGTGTGTGTGTGTGTGTGTGTGTATTAGATGTTTTGTCAAAGCACCTGGTATGCCCAAATATGGGAGGGAGCATACCAGGTGCTTTGACAAAACATCTAATCATTCCCCTGCCTTAGCTGATAAGGGAGGAGAGCTTGTGGCCTAGTGGTTAACATGTAAACATGTATGCCTAACATGTAAAGCCCAAGTTCAAATCCCAGAAGGATATAGCTGATGAGAGCTAAATAGCTTGAAATACATCTATACTAGTCGCCCTTTATTTATTTATCAGCACAAATGCAACACACTACACACACAAACAATACATACATACATACATACATACATACATACACACACACACATACAGTAGAAATTCAGTATATATACATATATACATACATACACACATACACACAACAATCTTTATTTAAGGGAAAATACATTAATTAATGTCCATGAAACAAAACATCAGAATCAAAAGATCTCAAATACAGATGCATAATTTAAACATGATATATATGCCACAATTTACTTTTAAGGAATATGTATGGACCTTGGCAGTATACAAATAACATGGTATTAATATGCTTATTGGAAAAAGGTGAATGTTTTGACTCATGCCACCTTAACTATAGGGACAAAGTAAGAATTGCAACGTTTTTTTTATATGTGTAACCATATGATTAAGTGCCATCAAATCATTGTTTGCTCTTTAGAACCACATGTGATTAACCATATGAGTAATCAAATACTGTCATGACATGCTATAACAAAGATGAAGTATTGTAATTTTCAAGGTACGGCTAACTTACATTATTATAGGGAAGTGTTGTGGAACTCATAACTTTTCTTATGGCAAAATACTTGATATATCAGAATCCAGTAGTAAAGATATCAATTTTAATAAACTGAAGTTTATGGAATTAAACTTTTGCTTTAGAATCAACAATACCACTGTTTTTATTGTAACAACATATATAATTTGTAGATTTGTGAGATAAAATTTTAAGGGTGTTGTCTCTGTTTTGGAATATCAATGTGTTATTGAAGAAAATATACCTAGCCTGTTATTTTTCTTTTTAATAAACTGTACTTCTTAATAATCCCTAACAAATTTGCAAGTATTTTAGTATGACAGCCATCCATCATTGTATAGCATAACCACCTACATTGCACTCTTAATTCACACTCACTAGCAAATCTTACAGCATCTTCCGACATTTACTTCCAAATTAATAATAACATCGAGAAATAAAAATAATTGGAGAGGTAGCGTAATTAACCGATACACAGTTGGCGAAACAGCAACCCTGCTTACATTTTCTCGAAGCCAATCCACGGACGGATTACTTCTAACTACAACTCCTACAAATCCCTGCGTTCTTACAATATCCGGGACAGCAAGCGCAGGGGCCCTCTGTACTTGTAGTTTCAAGGGCCGGAAACCCAGTAGAAGAAAAGGGGGATTTTCCGCCATCACCGGGACTACAAGCCCCAGCATGCTTTGGGTAACCCGGGGCGGTAATGGCGGCGGCAGCGCCTGCGCATTGCGGTCTCCGTGCGGACCGCGCAGAGTGAATAATAAAGCTCTCCTCCTCGGTGGTAGCGGGCGGAGGAGGAGGGAGCGGAGGGCAGGAGCATGTCGAAGGGACCGGTAGGGACCGGCCCTCCTGCGACCGGGCCGGTGGCGGCCGCCAGCACGCTCCAAGCGCAGCCCGAGAAGCCGCAGCACTACACGTACGTAGCGATAACACCCGCAGCCGCTTCTTAGTGCTGCTGCTCCCGCCGCCGCCGCCGCACCCCTCCGCCCGGCGCCCGCCCGCGCGCCACACACGCCTGACG